GATGGGTCTTCCTATTCTTTCAAAAAGTTTTCTAGCGAAACATCCTACTGTTCCGTTTGAACCAACCGAACACTTTGATTCTCGTAAACACCAGGCCAACTTTCGGATACTTCGTCGTTCGGTCGATAGTCCTCGAACTCTCCTAACTCTGCCTTCACACAGGTGTGGACTTTGATACTGCTCGACAATGTCTGCCTCCAATGTCTGGCGGCTACGTGGACAGTTGTCTCTAACCATTTTGGGAATCACATAACACACCGGAACGCAGAATCTTCCGTCGGCCCGGTCCACAATCTGCCGCAACAAAAACTCACAGACCTTATGTATTCTTTCGTCGAGCGCAGTCCATGTATTATCTGAGTTTCAGCCAGGGAACCACTAGTGCGTCAATATGGTCTTCAATTGATCCAATTTTAAATTCGTTGTGATGCGTCCGTCAACATTTTACCGTAAGCGGTCTCTAAATGCCTAGCCGTTCCTCTGAAGTTTCAGGACTGTTCCTTGTAATGTCGTACCTCTGACGTGTCTTTTAGGCTCAGAGCCAACTCGCGTCAGAAAAAGTTAGTCGTGGCTCCAATGTCCATAGTGTTTCTACACACGTCCCGCTTACGAAAGCATCCACAATTGCCTCGTAGGGTCCGCCATATAGTACATGAGTGACATCGGCAAATTCGTTGCATGTCTTTGTCTCTAGTTGCATGTTCACCGCTGACTACCACTTATCCACTGATGCTGAGAGTAATTGATGAAATAGTGACATCACCTGCTCATATCCTATTATCAACTCACTATGTCTCTTTTCCTCTGGGGAATTGTGTGGGTTGCTCCTCTGTGTAGAGTGATCGACCGTCGGGGCATCTCGTCTGGTTTCCCGCGGTCTTTTGAAAATGGCCGGCACAAATTCTCCTCCAGATTTTTCTGTTGTTTCGGTTCTCGGTCATTTACATGGTCAATGTGCTTCGGGGGCACTCTTTTGAATTGTGACCTGTACCTGTCTGACCGCAATCAAAACAGCTTCCCTGGTTCCCATTTCTCTTTGCACCATAGCGAACGCCTCCTTAAGACAGGTTATTTCGGCCTTTAATAACATATTAGTGGTAGAATAACTCCCTGAGTGGCTGGACTGGTTCTTGTTGGGGTAAGTGTTCTTGGTAGAGATCGGGGATAACAGAGTTTGCGAACCTACTCATCAATGCGGTCATACATTGTATTTGTGCAGAAGGTCGTTTTGGTTCCTCATAAGGTAATTGTGCCACAACTTCTGCATCTGAATTTGCGACGCTAGTTCGTCCAGCCTCTAGTCAGTGTTCTTCCGTAGTCCTATAAGATCCGTCTCAAGTCGTCTAGCGCGATAAATTTCCAAATCATCTCTGATGGATCCATACATCAGGTCTGGTACGGTCTGCAAGTCTCATACATTATTTGACCGGCTTTTCCTATTCTTTTGCCAGCTTCGATTACTGAGCTCATGCTAACTCCTGCGTGAAACTTTTGAGTTCTTCCGCACAAATAGTTCCTGAAATTCACATTCTAATTTACCGTCTACGAACTGCACACGTTTCATGTCATCTCTCGCTTGCGCACCCTTGTATCTGTTTGCCTCACTACCTAGCGCTCTGACCCGCCTTGAAAATTGCGTGAGACCTTCCTTGTCACCCTGTTGACCTCGGTTTTTTTCTGGAATGGCATCCAATTCTGCCTGTTCATTCAATTCTGCCGGCTTCCGGAAGCGTAGGAAGCCTACAACTTCCAGGAAGCCAATAACTTCATCACTTAAGTGGGCAGGCACTATCGTAACCTTGTCGATTACTCAGCTCGTTAAGCAGGTGGGCAGCACCATCCTAGTTTGTTCATCTTCCGATTGATTGACATCTGCAACCCACGCAATCTGTTTCCTCCAGTTCCTTAAATTTTGGTAAGTGTTAGGGGGAAACTGATCGGGTCTGAACGCTCCGAACCCAAATATCCTTTGCTGCCCGTTGGCAAGGCAGCCTCGGCCATCGATGTCCTTCTTGTTCAACAACAGCAAATTTTAGCAACAACAATCGAGAGTATGGCCCACCTAGGAGCGCCAAGGTACATTTAGGGTTTACTTCTCTAGATCCGTTCCCACACCTAAATTTTGGCACCCCTCCCTTGGGTAATGAACTCAGTGGGCGACCAGTATTCACTACTCCTCACAATACCAAAAATGTTAAATTATTGACAACTATTCTGAATGGTGTTTTATCGCTTGCACCTTTTATACTGCTTAAATGGATGTATCGTCTATTCTAACGACCGCAAGAGCTTCCAATTGTCATTAAATTCAGATAAAAATTATTCCAATTACAGAAGGTTCTAAGTGGCCAGATTAGAATCTAATAAACTAAGCAAAAGAAAGGGTGCGCGATTTATTAGCATAAGTAACTAATAGCAGTTCAACTTCAATTAGTGCAATTACACGATTCCCCATCTCTAGAGAACCCTTATTATCTTGTTGCAATCAGTTATTCGACCAAACTACTCAGCTCGACTTGCTAAAATTTACAGTGTCTGTGCAGATAACATATTTTTGAGGTACTTTAGGAGATCTCGCTAACTTCAGAAAAGACTAATCTCAACTTTTGGTGAGAATTAACTCATTCTAGTTTAGTATAAGTCCTTATCTCTAATAAACTAAAAAATCTCAGCGTAATTGTTTTGCCTAAGAATGGGCTGTTTGCAATTCGTTATTATACTTTTCGATTTAGGTTTTAGTTACACTAATGATTGTCCCTGAGGTGTCAATTTTGAAAATTTTGTAAGCAATTTTGGTCCAAACATCATTTAAGGGTCAGCCTGCGGTTACGAGGGTGAATTTTTCATATTCGGGTTCAGAATCTCCAAATCCCATCAATAATTCCCAAGTTATCCCAGTTCAATGAGTCATTTCATTCTCACGTGAAAAGGTTATTGAAACTGAAAGGAGTCGTTGGAGTGGTTCTACATACGTTTTTTCGGAGTTCGTATCTAGTGTCTTCAGCCTCCAAAAAACCAAAACGCTATTTTTCAAAATTTTGTGTAAATTATCTATATCCGTTCAAATGGGTGTTTTTCCAAAGTACTCATAATTTCAGATCCAATCGTTGGATGTCGTTTAAGTTATAAATCACCTTGTCACTACTCATCATACTCCCATAGTTTCGGCTCCCTGCGTTTAGTTGGCGCCGAAAAACGAAATCCGAAAATTCGTGTGGGGAATTTTTGGTTCGGGCATAACACTGGAAGTAGGTTTCCAGAAAATCTGGAGTTCTTATTAAGCTTGCCTCAACTAGGTCTAGAATATACTGAATTTTGGCACCATTCGAACCGCTAGTAACTGAGTTCTAATAGGGCTATCTGCACTTCCGGAAACCACTTTGATCAACTTTTTTTCATGATTGTTCATAGTTAATTTGCTTAAAATGTTAATTAAACCTTATTCCTTGCTGATGTTGATTGAGGCAGGCAAACAAACAGTGTTCTTAACCGTCTGTAACTATGAAAAAAGGTCATTTTAACACAGAAGCAAGGCAGAGCTTCGCAACACGTACCATAAAAAGCTAGTAAAGGAATCAAAAGCTAGCGAATAGAAACTGAGACGGAAACTGCATATTCAAAAAAGTATTTGACAAAAAGAGGTAAGGAATATTCCATCTACAAAAACTTCATACAGTTATCTCGTCCGATGTTCCTTTTCAGGAAAACGCAGTAAGGTACTGATCAGCATTAAATGCCCATTCAGTATCAATTCCCGACGAAAAAAAGCCAACCATATTTTGATAGACACCCGTTTATCCGAAAACAGTTTCAACTCTTTAGAAACTCTAAGACGCCACCCATTTTCACATCCTCGAAAGTGTATGAAAAAAAATTGCCTTTCAAATAAGGCATTACAAAAGATTACTATAAAGCGTAACAAAATAATCCAATCAATATAGTCGAAAATCAGCAAAACCAATTGCGAATGGGCCTAGAAATTGTTGAGGTTCTATAAACAAGCAAGTTATTTTCTTACAGTTTTGTAGAAAAAATGTTTACGGGAAAAGTTCTATTTCCTGATTACAAGTTACTTGCTGCTCTCGCAAGTGAAACAATTAAGGTTTCTGATGAAAAAATTAGTATAAAGGATGAAGTTTTCTTTGTAGAAAATTTAAGTTTTTGCGTCAAAATTTGTATGATGGCATAGAATGGTTTTTATTTCATTTAAAGTTTCGAGTACACTTTTCCACCATCACATTCAGTTTTTTTCCTCCTATGAGACACATATTTTCCTCGTAGTGATTTATGATAAAACTAAATGCAGGTCCCTCGGTGAGCTGTGGAAAAGGAGTACGGTACGAAACAAATACACGCGAGGACAATTACTACTTTTAAAAACACACAGAGAAGTGGATGTATTTCTAAAAAGAAAAGAAAAAGCGGCAAAGTACGAAAAAATGAACAAAATACTACAAAGTGCCTAAAGATTTTTGGGACATTGGAAGAGGATTTTAACCTCTGCTGTTTCAAGAGCAAATATTTAGAGAATCTATAGAAAACATGACCTTGTAGATCTTTTGAAGCAAAAATTTTCATACATACTGAAAAACCAGTTTACGAAGCAGCAATGAATGAATGTTTTTTTTTTCTGATAAAAACTTGCGCTAAAAAATTGCCCAATTCCATTACCAGATCAATTTTGCCGCAACAAGGATGCGCTCTTTTGTTCTTCTTTTGTTCTCTCATTTTTTAATCGTTCCGACAAAAATTCATTTTTTAAAGATTTGTCTCTGGAACTGATATTGAAGCTTAACACAAAAATCAATGAGCAGAAAAATAACGAGTTTTTGTACGAGAAAAAAAAATCGAAGTTTGTATTATAATTCAAACTTTACAATTCATTTTCGAATTTTATAATTTAGGGAACATTTTGCGTTTCGTTTCATTTGGTGATGGTATTTGAAAAGGGTAATATACTGTACATGGCATGAACAAATATAACAACTTCCGCCAAACAACAAATACAAACATCAGTTTAAGTCCAAGACATTTCAATTAAGCATACCATCATTTTGGAACTTAATCAGCAATAATTCAAACACCGCTTGAAATTGAAACATCAATAAAGATGTTCTCAAGTGTCCAATCCCTATTTGTGAGCCTCTTGGGTCTCAACTTGACTCTGACTCTGACTCTGGCTGCCCCCTTCATCGGCGAGTGTCCGGACATCAGTGGGTTGATAGTGGACCTGCCCAATCTGGCAGACTACATGGGCAGGTGGTACGAGATATACAGGGTGCCCAACTTCGAAGCGGGACAAGAGTGTGTCTTTGCAACCTACACACTGGAAAACGGTCCAAATGGTTAGCAATTTTATGAAAATACAAAATTAGGTTATGCACCCGTTACCCGTTTACCCACGGGGGAAATGAGCAGTAAACGAGCTATACGGGTCATCACTAAGCCCCTGCTTAAGAACTACATAAAATTTGTGGTTATTTTTCTAGGTTGGGTAGAATTGTCTCACCCTCAAGCAGCGCTCTCCAACAGTTTTCTCATATCCTACGCCTCTTTTTGAAAAATTTAAAATCCCCTTATATCGGGTGGCCAATAACTGGAAAAATCCGAAATAGATTGGCTTTAACTTAGTTTAAGAACAAGTTCAAAAATCAACATACCTATCACAAAATCGAGAATTCACAAAAATTTGACTTTACCTCCATAATTTTACTTTTTCAGGCACTTATGTGCAGGTAAACAACACTGGCTACGGGCGGAAAGATGGCTACTCTGGAATAGTGGGCAGTGCCATTCAACCCAACCCTCCTCTGGCTGCTTTGATTGTCTCCTTCTCAGGATACCCATCCCAGAACGCCACCGCTCCTAACTACAACATCATCAGGCAAGTAATTGTTTTGACCAAAAGCTGAAAAAATGTTCTGACTCCAAAAAATTCTCTCTGAAAAAATTTAAGGAATAAATCTGTCTAGTAAAATGGCTTTCCATTTCCACAATTTATTCACGAAAAACTAATACTCATGAATTATTGGGTAGCAGAACTAGTTTTTTCTTCTGCTGAATTACATTGAATAATTTCAATTATTAAAGTTCAAAAACACTTATGCCAACTCATATCTGTGAAATTTTCAAATTTCATTTTGCTCCTATTGATTACAAGAAGTTTAAAGATCATAATAGAAAACAAAATTATCTAAAAAAAACATTATTATTCAGAAAATTGAAAAACATCTGCGTTTCAGAAATATTATTCAATGCTATTCAAAGTTAAAAACATCAGCATTTCAACAAAAATACGTCTACCGTAGGCAATAAAAATATTGATTTCTTTTTATTTTATCATTGTTCTGTTTTCGTTTCAGACTGGACACTTCCTCCTACGCTGTGATCTACTCATGTGACAGTGTGGATAAAGTGGGCGCAGTTGATGCTTGGATTCTGGCCAGAACCAAGACCCTCCCTGATGATGTTATTGCCGATCTGAAGGGACTGCTAGCTTCTCTTGGGGTGAAAGTGGACAACTTGCATGCCACTGTGCAGAGCAATGACTACTGTCCAGCCGCTTAGAAAAATTTCGAACTGATAATTTGACCTTAAATTTTAAAATTACAGAACAGATGCTCCAAAAATCTTCTATTTAACCTCTTTTGCTAAGTGCGGATGAACGTTGTAAAGACACCTATAAAAGTTGTGATGAGCTATTGTTCTTCATTTCAGCAAAATTTATTACGCGCTCAAATTCGATTTTTGACAGTTCCAGTTTTGATTTATTATTTTGAAGTTCAATTCAAATTGCTAAAAAGAAAGCAAGTTTAGTTCTCGAGTCACGAAAGTGCAAATTACTCAATCAGTGGGAATGATTGTTTGCTCTGATTTCTGATACACTTTTAAAATACCATAGCGCAATCATAAAAAATAACGTTTTAATTTTTTTTTCACTCGTTGGGCTAATCTTATTTTAAAAACTTTTTGTAACAGATTTCTGCTTTTTAACCTAGCATTTTTTAAATTTCAAACATATTTTTTCGGTTTTCCTGAGTTCAATGACACTTTACAAACGTCTGGTCGATATTTTGTATTTTAGCTTCTTCTGTGCTGATATAAAACTTTTTTATGCTGTTTAAAAAACTTTCTATTTTTAAAACTATTCAAAAACGCTCTTATACTGTGATTTAGGATAGATATCTTAGTTTACAATCTTTAACTGACTTAAGCTGAACACGTAATACATTATGCAGATTAACACGACATGCAACAAAGCTTTAAATGATCAATATTGTCCAAGCAAAATTATGACTGGATTGATATTTCCCGACAAGAAGTGATCGAAGTTACTGAGGCCTGTGAAGAGTTGAGTCTTTTATGTAAAATAAAACTTCAAATCAATTTAAAGAAGAAAAAACACCAGAGCGTCTTTGTTGACTTCAATTTTCTGAAATAAGGGCAAAACAATGATGAAATCAAGGAATAAACAGCAACTAGTGTTTTTTCTACGAAAAAAACATGTTGCATTTTTGCCTATAAGATTTAAAAAAGTTTAATTTACTTGAACCAAATAAGATTTCTACAGGTTGCTTGAGTCTACGCAACACTGAAAACTCAAGATATAGCTGTTCTCTCGAAAAAAAAATTATTTACATCATGGACCATAATAAAATTTGAGGATAAACTTTATAATGCTATTGTATAAATCGGTTTCGATTCTAAAAGTCGTTATGTAAGGACACTCTTACTTTGAACTACATATCTAAGCATGGACTTTTTCGGCAACTTTTAAGTTTTTTCGCAGTTCACTACGAGCCAAAACAGTTTTTCTCATTAGTCCGTGCGATGTTAAGAAAATTTTTATGGTTGGTATAGTTCAAAAACTTTTTGAAGAATTATTTGAACTAATAACTAAAACTTACAAAAAAAATTTGAAATTACTTGATCATTTTAATAGTTTTCTATCCGGTGTAGAGAAATCGAAACAAAAGGATAAAACTGGAATTATTCAATTGAGCCCAAAATAGAAATACGTTATTTTGAGATTTTTTTAATCCACAGTTTCTTTTTCTGTTGTGAATTTTGCATAAATTTTGTCTTTTTTTTCATTTATCTTGAGCGAATGTTTTGTTTTGCAAATTCTGGAAGCGCTAAGACTGAGTTCGTAACAAAATTTGGCATTGTTGCACAGCTGTTTTTTTCCGCCAGTATTGTAAATAGAATATATTTTACACAGAGGCGAAGTTGCACTACGCGTACACAAGCAAACTATGACCGATAACACTACTGGGAAAAACTGAATTAGTAAATCTTTGAGCCTACAAAGTTTCTTAATGACACACGCCAATTATGAGTCTACATAATTGCTAAGTTAAGCAAGCCAATTATGGCGCATTAGCAGTACCAGCCAATTTGAAAGAGAAATTTACTAACTGACATGCCTCAATTTATAGAGTAGACGCATTTTAGCTAGTATACGAGAAGTTCATTAAAATCAATCCACCCTGCCTAGGTTTGAACTCTCTTATTTTGTTGCGGGTCTCCTTCACTATACGCTAGATCCATCATACCTTGACGCTAGTGTGCTATTTGTAAAATAATAGTCTGTGTTAATACCCTTACCATTGGCTGTACTTACTAGCTGCTTATTGATCAAAATGAACACTTTCAAATGAACACATTTTGAACACATAGTAGTTATTTCAGTTGTAAAATTTAGTTTTTCTCGCAGGAACCATCGGATCTCGATAAACTTAAGGGTTGCCTCTGAAACTTTTTAATTTGCGGTAACCAAATCTCAATTGATTGCTGCTGATTTCAGCTTTCTGACGGGTCTTTTCAGAGCAGGTTTTCAATTTGAAAGTAACTAAAACGTTCAAATAAAATTAATTTTTTTTAAAAAAATCCGGTTTTTGCTCGGCCCATTTTTCGACTGCGCTCGACCCATTTTTCGACTGTGCTCGACCCATGTTTTGAGTTTCTCGACCAAAATAAATTATGTTTCGAACTATGTTACTCGACCTATGTTGCGACTCATTCGACAGAAGTCGGGTAGGTTTCGATTCGATGCTGGACCTAAAATTGGTTCTCGACCACGGAATTTCAGTCGAAAATCTGCATTTTCTCGATTTTTAAAGTCGAAAGATAAGTCGAGCAACTCGACCCGTGACAGAAGCATCTGTTAAATAAACGATGAATTGCTTATTCTTTAGTACTTAAAAACAGATGCAAAGCTGCGTTTCGCAAGCACTAGCCAGGCCACTAAAAAGCAGCTCTATAAAATGCAAAAAAAAGTAGAAATAAGCCTCGAATTAGTAAAATTCCGACTACCTCTCGGATTCAATCTGCAACCTAGAGATTATGAGCCTCAAGCACTAACCAAAAATAAAGCAAAGAACAGATGCTATGAAATTTCCAATGCTACAGATCGTGGTTATAGCAAAAGTGCCACCATATAAATAACACTTTTAACAAGCACTTTTTTTTGCGAGAGCTGAGAAAAAAGGAGGTTCGTACTAATAAACTAACGCCGCAAGCTCGCTAGTTTAATCATAGCACTCAAATGGGGTAATAATAATAAATTGAACTAATAAAGCAATTGTTAATTTTTAACTAAATTCTGGAATCATGGAAACGAACTGCAAAACAACTGCAGAAGTCACTGGCTCCTAATTTTTGCCCATTCTTCACATTGCATAGTTGAATTCTAGACAGTCCTAGCACATCATAGTGATATGTGATTAAAGAGAAGTTCAGGTTCTCTATTGAGCTGTTGAGATAGAGTACAGAGTAAAAAAAATAACTGCACACTCAACTGGTTTACACAGGCGAATCAGCACATATTGAACCAACTATCTGCCGCATTATAGGCAAACACTTACACAGTCCACGAGCCAAGACAAAAAACTTTCGCAGATACTTAAAACAGACCGAGTCATCATAAAGAAAAAGCTTTAATTCGGCGCATAAAATTTGTCCGGCGCAGAAAATTTAACCAAGTAATACATCTTAGTAATAAATGGTTTACAAAAATCCAATTTTGAACTAACCAACTTATTAGCTCAGTGCCACTTCCAGCTTTGCAGTGAGAGAGCACACTCTGCGCTTCATTTGGCGAATAAATTTGAAAAGCCGCCTGAATATAAATGTTAACTCAAAATCACAAAAAAATGAGCGTGAAGAAACTATAAAAGGTTTATTGAAAAAATATGTCCCCTTATAAAAAATATGTCCCCTTGAAAAAATATGTTTTTACGGTCCCCATTTAGTCGGAGTTCAGGGCAAATAAAACCTAAATAGTTGAATACTTAAGCAATACTAAAAGAACCTCGCCACAGGAAGGTTAAGAGAGCACTAAATCAATTTTAAGAGTAGCATGGTTGCGGTGTTCTGTTTCGGCGCTCTGCTCCATTCCTGTCTCAGACAGGCATCTCTATATTTCTTAATAAAATGAAATATTTTACGCTTTTTTGGTCTAATTGGAAAACAGATGGCTTTTTGGTGATATTAAAAGCGCACTTTAAGAAAATGCCGTGTCTAATAGGTCATTGACACCTGAGAATTTTGCTCTATTAATGGCATACAGTACACAACAAGAAGAAATATTACAGCTTCCGCAAACATAAGAAATGCTAACATCAATTAAAGATCATACGTGTTTAAGTTATCATATCATCAATTGTTCACTCAATCAGCAATCGTTCAGCATTTGTAAAACAACCAGCTGAAATTGAAACATCAATAAAGATGTTCTCAGGTGTCCAATCCCTATTTGTGAGCCTCTTGGGTCTCAACTTGACTCTGACTCTGACTCTGACTCTGGCTGCCCCCTTCATCGGCGAGTGTCCGGACATCAGTGGGTTGATAGTGGACCTGCCCAATCTGGCAGACTACATGGGCAGATGGTACGAGATATACAGGGTGCCCAACTTCGAAGTGGGACAGGAGTGTGTCTTTGCAACCTACACACTGGAAAACAGCCCATATGGTTAGCCTATTTTACAAAACAAGTTCGAATATTTTCCATAACGGAAGCTTATTTTTACATGTTATCATCTCTCTTTTTCAAATTAGATCGAATAGCTTGTTCTTGTGCCTGGTTGCCTGTTATTTGAATAATCGGAATCAACATAGCGTTCAAGTATTGTACTTTAAAATGTCAAAAAATGAACCTCAGACAATACCGAGTCAAGTTTTTCAAGAAAATGGCTAAAAAAACCGAGCAAAAGTGAAAAAGGTTGGCCGGTTTGCTTTGCATGTGGGAAAGAAAGTTGCGGCCACGGAATCAAAAAAACTAGATTAGGCATATTCGATAGTTTTAGTAAATAAGGGATATTCGAAGAGTTTTCTCCTTTCTAATAAAAAGAAGCGTAATTGGATAAATGATCATTTGTGGCACCTGATTTTGCGTGGAAAAAAATATTTAAAAATTAAACCACACCCGAAGGCAAGATTCCTCCACGGTTTTAGTGGTCGGAACAAATATATTTAAGTCAACTTCATTTTGTTACTTGTTAAGGCACCTATGTGCAAGTGAACAACACTGGCTACGGGTGGGTAGATGGCTACTCTGGCATAGTGGGCATGGCCATCCAGCCCAACCCCCCTCTGGCTGCCTTGATCGTCTCTTTCTTCGGATACCCATCCCAGAGCGCCACAGCTCCCAACTACAACATCATCAGGCTAGTTAACTATTGGAACGTATATTTACTCAATCAGAATTCTAAAAGAAATTCCTAATTTTACTCGATTTGCTCAAAAAAAATTGAAAAAAATTTATTGGGTGACAGAAAAGATCGGTTAAATACGCTCTTCGTTGAAT